CGATCCGTCGGGTGCAGCAGGTTATGGCGCACCAGTAAGCAGCACCGCCGCTACCCTTCAAGCTCAAGCTCAGGTTCAGGCTCAGCAGCAACAGCAGTATGCAGCTGCAGCTGCCGCTGCCATGCTTGGTGCGAATGCATATATCGGCGATTATACATCAGTCGATATATCGCATGCCGGTCAGTGATTGCTTTTTAACTAAGAAGTCAGAAAATGGGGTTTGGTATTCTATAGATGGATGCTGACTTTCGTTATCGATAAGCTTCAAGTCGCGGTGATAAGGAACAATTGTTAACGTTTAAACAACTTGGGATCTCCTTCAAATTACTAGAAATTAATTTGTATAAGCGATGAGAAAAAAATATTAATTTACTTTTCAAACCGCGGAATAATGGAAAGATCAAGGATCAGAGCATTATTATTTCAACCACCAGTTTCCGTTAATTAGTTGAGGTGAAGATAGTCCTTTACATGAGTTTTATTTCAAATTTTTTTGATTGTATTTTGAAAAGTTATTCATTTCTAGTGTTTTATTTAGTTCTTTTTCATCTTTCATATTTTATCCTTTTATCTTGGATTTCAACTCATATGAGACATATCTTGCATTAATTTATTCTAAAATCTTTGTTGTAGTTCCGAAATCTGATGTTTCTTCATTTATTTCTTTTGATCAGTGAATCCTACCCGTAGGTGAAAAGTGGCCACAAATGAAAGCGCTTACATTAGATTTCATGAGCATTTAAATTTAAGATTCTTACGATGAGAATATCGAGTACACAGACCTTATTAGGGTATGTGCTGTACAAAACTACTAAGATATCTGCCTCTTGTCATATATCTCAATTTTATGCAGTATTAACGCCAGTTTTCGCATTTCACGGGTTATTTATTGATAGTGATAAAATTATCGTATAACATAGAAGTTATTAACAAATATAAACATAAAATGGGCAAGTGTATACTGTACTCTCTGAATTAATTCTCATTTTAGCGCTTAATCTCACTGATGCTGACGTACTCACTTATGTTATGTTTATTATTTGTTTATTTATTTTTTTATTCACTCAATTACTGATTTACTTATTTTTCACTTATACGAGGTACCAATTTGTTAACTTCACTTTTTCACCCAATACACTCAATTTGGGTGAGAAAGACTCAATGGTAACACTCCATTTCATAGCAATGTTTTGGTCTTATCTCTATAGTGAAGGTACGTTTTCGGGATGGGAAGGAAGGAAGAGGAAAATGATGGTTATCATATTACTGTAAACATAACTAATGTCGGTATTTTTGAGTATATGAAATGGATTTTCAGTTAATCGAGTGTTAAAAACAGTATCTTCAACTTGATAGTGGGCAGCAGTAGGGTTCATATACGTGACATTTGGAAGTCACACTGGTTCAGAAGCAGTTTTCGATGTTATATACTATCGGTGTTATATACTATCGATGTTATATACTATCGGTTTGCTGCTCACCCTTCCTCTCATCCATTCCTTGCCAAATATTGTTTTTGTTTAATCAAAAATCTAACATAGTGGGCTTAAGAGTAACTTTCTGTGCAATATCAGTTAACCGAAATTAACCAGAAAGAAAATTGCAAATTATTGTTTATAGGTGCAATGCTGTGTAATCAACGACGTGTGCTTGGCCACTCGAGGGACCATCCGTATGGTAGTGGAAAGTCAGCTACATCATAACACTTCTCACTCCAAACAAAACTCACTTCTTTATCACAGATTATACAATACAAAGTACCAACAACACGGTTTGTTTTGAACTCTCTGTCTCTGAACTAACATTAAAAGAAAAAAAGCTTGTCAAGGTGTCACCTGAAAAAGTGGGCTAGCGTTGGTTGCACGTGATAAAGTTTGCCTTTTCATTTCACGGTTACATATATCTTCCCGTCAAATGCTGTTTTAACATTTCACGGTTATATAAACCTTCCCTTCAAATGCTGTTTTAACTTGTATGAGCACATCTAGGTCATTCTCAATGTTTGTGTTTTCAAAGACAGAAAGATGACTTGTTGCTTCTATATCGTTTGCTTTATATTCGAACACGATTCCGAATTATCTCGTAGGTGATAAGAAACTAGAAACGGGAAATCGTTTGACCGGCTTCACATCTCTTTTGAAAGCTTCTAGATTTGATTTCATAGGCAGTTCGTTCAGTCCTAGATGTGCGTTGTGCCAGTTGTGGCAGTAGTTGCGTCTTATGCATCTGATAATAAAATTGTCACCATAAATTACTACAACTAACAACCTCATATCCCTTACAGGATCGTTGTTCGGATCAGGTATTTTTCTGGGTTATATGCTTAACATTATTTCAGTCTTCTACTACTACTACTACTGCTTTTACTGCTACTATTACCACTATAGTATTGATTTGTCGTTTAGCGCTTTCATTAAGTGCCTTAACTTTATTATTTTTGTCAGCATAATTTCCACTTTTTCAAATTTTTTCATCTGGGTTTACTTCATTGTTCAGTTCTTTTGTTTTATTTGTTTGCAGATTTAAACCTTTGCTAAAATTTGGTCCTTTTTTGCAGTTTAGCTCATACTTTTTTGGTTTTTTCATATTGGAAGCTTTTTTATTATATGAAGAAGTTGATGTGGTTTATTTCCAAATCCGATATTTCACATTAATCTGATTTGTGTTGCTTTTTTATAAAAACCATGACATTATAAAGAATCAAATTGCTTTTTTTATAAAGAACCATGATGTTATAAAGAATCAATTTCCAGACTTCCTTCTATTATGAATTTGATGGTTCCGTAATTTCGGATTTAACAAAAACTTTAAAAACGGTTTGTATATGTGCCCAACTACTTTTATCAGGCTTCACTGTTGACAGTGTTCGAAATGCATATCTAGTTTTCACATTTCTGCCTGGTGGAGTTGATTTTATCAAGAGCAAAGTGAAAAGATTCGAAAATTCGAAATTCCTTCCTACGGCTTTCATGATAGATTATTATTGTAACGGTCATAAATTCAAATTCATCTCTGAATCAAAGCTCTCAGCTTCAAATCCATGTCCTTTCTTCTAGAATCTGGTGGTACTTGTTTGTTTGTTTTTATTTCTACCCAACTGCCTTTATCAGACTTCATCGCTGACAAAATCCATTTCAAATCTAATTATTTGTCATAATTAATAGTGTAGAAAAGAGCAAGAAAAGGTTACTAGAAAATGAAGAAATATTTTTTAGCCTCTCTATTCGCTTACATTAGTACAGAAGGTTGGAAAAGTTTGGAATTATTTATTTGCTCGATGATTCAAATTGCCGAGTAATCGTAGTTACGTCAAACTGAACAAGGTCAGCTGTGCGTAACTTATCAAATCCTTAATTTCTTGGTTTCAGCTACTCCTCAGGCCGTAAATTCTATATTGTAGATTTCACGATTCCTTCTGGCATGATTGCTAGAAGCATTTCGATCATAATAGCAGTTTATTTTAGATATGGCGAACCTGGTGCTTTGAGCTCATTTATACTATGCCATAAAAACTTAGTGGAAAATGTAGGTTTACATAGAATTTCTAGTTCAAACAGTCAACTTTTCCAGGCTTTTTTGATTTTGCATAATGAATGTCTGGTTAATTTGCAGCAGTACTACACTGTATATTTTCTCGTTTTTTTTTTTTGTTAAATGTGTATATATTGAGAAGTTGGTGCCCAGACTTTGTTTTTTGCTCTTTTATTCCTTTTCTCTCCATCAACATTGTTTGTTTTTTAATCTTTATTCAAGAATGCCTTGAAAATTGATGTGGAAGTGCCTGCGGATCCGATAGTATCTCCCGAAAGGAAGGATTTTTGCTTTCTCCTTTTAAATCGTTTAATAGTACAGTACGCATGTGTCTTTTTTAGACTCATTTTGTTGTGCATTTTCGGAATAATTTGATAACGATCGAAAAAGTGTTTTGAAAAGATTTCATATCACGAAGAAATCCGTTGGAACTACTACTGCTCTCACGAGCTGCTCAAAAAGTGCTAACCTTGATTAGTATACGCTATGTTTCTTTTGATTTCCAGCACTTTCTTTTCATTAACTATTCAGTTTTGTAATTTGTGTATGTGTGTGTGTGTGTGTGTTTTGATTGCTTACCAAGTCCTATTGTCACAATTACTTTAATCATTATTATCATGTTTGCACATGTTCATCGCTGTATGCGCGGAACCTCCTTGGTGTTTTCATTTATTTTTGTTTCTTATATATATTCCTTTTTGTGCCTTCTAAAAGATGCACTGTTTGTATTTTGAAAATTTTTCCTTGTTCAGTTGTTTTTATGTACTACAAATTTGCCTTGATCAATGAATTTTACTTATATTTTATTGAATTCTAATCTTTTCTTTAACGAAAATAAAAATTGTCACAGAAAAATTTTTTCTCCACAACTGAGGAATACATCGATCTAGATTTCTCCCACAAGAAATGTTATATCTAAAGAGCATTTGTAAGTGCAGACTTACGTTGTGGACTCTACATGTGAGCCTTTCCCGTGTAACAGATTATTTCCTGTTTTGCAGATCCATTATTTCTGGGAAAATAACACTTCTCTTGTACCTCGAGATGTAGGGAACGTATCCGGTTTAATTAGGCTATTGTTTGATTGGTCGCATTCCGGAAATATCATTGAGAGATGAAGATAGTCTCCCGCTTAATTTACATTTTCTTTTTTGATAGTGCTAAACTGCATCAGCAGTTTATAATCCTATTAGCGGTATTAACGGTTGTTTTACGTTCCAAATATGCTGAGAGGGCAGATCGTTCAGCTTCTCAGTAATTAAACTAAAAACTGTTCTATAATACGAAAATCGTAGTGACACACACACACACATACGCACACACATATATATATACACACACACACACACACACACAC